ATCCCTAATTAAATAAGTGACAGAAACATGTCAAATGTTCAGAACCTGGTAATTCAATGGTTGAACATATTATTTACCCAGACGCTCCTGCACCCTCGTTTGGACCCTCAAATCCCTACTGTTGTTTGACAAAGTCGTGCCCCCAAAGCAGGTTTTATCAGAAATGGTTGCGGGAGAGGATGTTGCAGAAGTCGTTCCTTTTTAGAAAACGTTTGATGGACTGTATTCATAGTTTTTCTTTGCTTTTGCATTGAATGTTGTGTTCAGCTTGGGAAAGAGGATGTTGGCAAGATGCATTGTTTCATGTTGAAGTGTTTCAAATCCTGCGTTTAGCTTGGGGAGTGGTTACCCTCATCGTGACAAACCTGGGTGCTCCGACTTGCAAGTCGGCATTCCTGCACCCAGACACAGACGCTAGCAAGAGGCAGGCCTTGTGTTTATGGCTGCAGTGGGAAACTTCTATGTAGCTACCATGACGCGCTTCAATGACTCTGGCTGTGCATGGACGGGTTAGAAGACAGCAGTTTCATGTCCAGGGACACTCAGGGCAAAGCAGGGGACCAATGATGTGCAGAATCAGATGCCATGATGCAAGTTGTTTCCTTCTTTTTTGCTTTCTTTCTTTGGCATGGCGTCGACGCCTCGCAAGCGGCTGTGCTTGGAAGCTTCTCCTTTGTCATCTCAGAAGGCTGCTCCTACTAATCAGGGCAGTCATGGAATCATTTTGGAAACCTTGACCCAACTTCTTTCCATAGACGCTGTCAATTAGACTACAGTGAGAAGTGGGGCTGTGGAAGTGGCTCTAGCTAGAAGAGTGTTATTTTGCTTCTGCTAGCACTCTGAATGGTTTGATGTTGGCAGGTGTCGTTCTGATAGCACTGTGTGTCTGTGCAGGTCCCACGTCGAGAGCTGCAAGAGAAAGCAGAAGCTCCAGATGCTTGCCAGCTGAAGCGCTGTGGGTTTGAAGCCTCCTTTATCATCATTTACTTTGTGCAAAGTTGTGTCATCCAACGCCGATTGATTTCAATTTTTTGTTTTGGAAAGATGTGGGGCATTCAAAAGGTGATACATTCAACGTTCGAAATGAATCTTGCATTGAGGAAATGCCTCAAGAACAGCTGGCCCAATACCTTCGCGTGAAACATGCTGATGTGTTCTCTCGACTGGACAAGTTGTCTTGGGAAGCCAAGCAAGTTGATGAGCATGATGAGAAGCCCAAGCATGTCATGAGCAAAGGCCAAAGGCCTGTGGAGTCGACCGAGTGCGCGTTCTGTGGTGCGCGAAAGCATACTCACAAGTGGTTGTACAGGGCTGGCAAGAAAGGACTTCGGCGCTGCAGTGGCAGCACTTGTGCAGCTTGCTACCGTTCGGCCATTCTCCTAGGTGTTTCACGCTCCAAAGCTTTGATTGAGAATAGCGGGGCCATTTCTATTTTCAAGGTGCTGAGCAGTCGTGTTCGCGGTAACTTTGGCGATGAGGATGTTTGTGAGTGTGCTGAATGCAAGCCAAAGACGTAGTTCTCAAGGGTTTCTTGTGTCTAAGTGTGAGCACTTGCCGACACTGCTTATGGGGAAAATGCTTCTGCAGAACGGCTTGGAAACGTGTTTTTTCAACCAGATCCAACATACAAGGGTCACCGCATCACATGGAGGTTTGTCATATGGGTCTACATACCACACAGGCCCTGGCAGAGTGGCGCATGTTTCTTATCATCTCCACGCTTTTCACAGAACATCTTCCTTGTTTCACATCCAAACTTGCTTCACATCCACATTTGCTTTCCCGGTCAGAGAGTGTCCTGAGAAGATCTCATGCAAGTTGTGCTCGCCCCGCTGCCTTTTCCACGTTTGTAGTGGTTTGTGGGAATGCCGCCAAAAGAGTTTCTTTCTTCCGCGAAAGTCGCGCGGCTATCCTACTCCAATTTGATTTGCGCCTTAGATGCTTGGGGAGTAGAATACAGCTCTAGCGACAGGGAGCTGGCACTCAGGGCAAAGCTTGATGAAGCCATAGCAGCTGCAATAGAGAAGAAGAAAGGGAAGCACTGTGGGGGTGCTTCTGGTGAGACTGCTCCGAGCAAGGCAGCTGAGCCTCCGAGTATCCTGGTAGGAGAGAACAATGGTTTTTGCAACAAGTTATGCGGGAGTCATTCTAAGTCCCTTGCATAGAGACAGGCTTTAGAATGGACATGTCAGAAAGATAGGCGCACTGCTACTACTACTACTACAACAACTACAACAACAACAACTACTACTACTACCACTACTACCACTACTACCACTACTACTACTACTACTACTACTACTACTACTACTACTACTAC